CCTGGCAGGCGGGGCTGGCCCCAGGGCGGCGCTAGGGGGCGCTGTGGGGCAGGGAGTGGGGCGGGGGGCTCAGCAGGGGGCGCTCTCCCCTGGCAGGTGGGGCTGGCCCCAGGGGGGTGCTAGGGGGCGCTGTACCACGGGGGGGCAGTAGAGAGTGCCCCACCACAGAGGTGGCTGCTTTTCAGCCTGGCCACCTGCGACCTCTGGCCTCTCCGGGTCTGTCCAGCCCTGAGTGAATGGTCTCCCCTCCGCAGCACCCTGGGGTGGGGGTGGGGAGCTGAGGGGTACCCCAGGCCCCCCAGCTGACGCTGGCCCCCTCTTCCTCTCCAGGGGCCTCGGCCTTGGCCATCAACTGCTCCAGCTGCAAGAAGGGGAAGGTGCCCTGCTGGGCCCTGAAAAAATGTTACCCCGGTGAGTCCCCCTCCGGTGGGGGGGGGGCCTGGGCCCACCTCTCTCCTCTGCCCCCTCCCAGCCCTCCAGCACTGGCCTCCTCCCCCCCACACACGACCCCCTTTGCTGCCCGGTTGGGGGAGGAAGGGGTATTCCTGGGGTCACTCCACGTCAGAGCCCCCCCCCACCTTCCTCCCCACAGACTGCCCCCTTTCTTCCCCTCCCCCCCATTCATCCCCTCTATTTGCCCCCCCACCCCCAGGGCGCAGGGATCTCCGGGACTCCCTGCTGCTGCTGAGCGTCCTGTCCGCCTCCAGCCTGCTCGTGGGGGTCATCACCTGCGCCCTGCAGTGAGCCGGGGAGGCCTGGGCTGGGGATAGGGGAAGGGGCGGGGTCTGGGCTGGGGATAGGGGAGGGGATAGGGGAAGGGGCGGGGCCTGGGCTGGGGATAGGGGCGGGGATAGGGGAAGGGGCAGGGTCTGGGCTGGGGACAGGGGAGGGGATAGGGGAAGGGGCGGGGCCTGGGCTGAGGATAGGGGATGGGATAGGGGAGAGGGTGGGCCTGAGCTGGCGGGGGGGCCTGGGCTGTGTTTTTTGGGGGGGAAGGCAGATGGGGCATAGTGGGATCTGAGGGGGAGGACATGGGGAGGGCAGGGGGCAGGTGGGGGACACGGAGGGGGGAGGTGGGGGTGGAAGGGGAATACAGGGAGTGGGGGGGGGGTTGGCACTGAGGGGCCCGCCCCCTTTTGGCGGGGGGAGGAGGTCCAGCCGAGGTGTGGGGGGGTGACTCATGGGGCTGACGTCTGGACTTTCTCTCGGCAGGTTCCGGTTCTACCCGCTGCCCGAGTGACCCCCCCGCCCCCGCCCCTGCCCCCGCCCCCGCGGCCTGGATCCACAATAAATGGGCTTCCCCTCCAGGCCTCGTGCTGGCAGCAGCAATCTCTGGGGGTGCACACGCGGGTGGGGGGGCAGGGTGTCGGCCATGTAAGGGTGTCGGGGCAGGGTGGGGGGGCGTGCAAGGGTATGGGAGCAGGGTGGTGGAAGTGCGAGGGTGGTGGGGCAGGGTTGTGGGCATGCAAGGGTTTGGGAGCTGGGTGGCAGGCGTGTGAGGGTGTGGGGGGCAGTGTAGTGGGTGTGTGAGGGTATGGGAGCAGGGTGGCGGGAGTGCGAGGGTGGCGGGGCAGGGTGGCAGGCGTGCGAGGGTATGGGAGTAGGGTGGCGGAAGTGCGAGGGTATGGGAGCAGGGTGGTGGGCGTAGGGTGACCAGATGTCCCGATTTTATAGGTACAGTCCCGATTTTGAGGGCTTTGTCGTATATAGGAGCCTATTACCCCCCACCCTCTGTCCCGATTTTTCATACTTGCTGTCTGGTCAGCCTAGGTGGGTGTACAAAGGTGTGGGGGCAGGGTAGTGGGTGTGCAAGGGTATGGGTGCAGTGGGCGTGCGTGCAAGGGTATGGGAACAGGGTGGCGGGAGTGCGAGAGTGTGGGAGCAGGGTGGCGGGCGTGCAAGCGTATGGGAGCAGGCTAGTGGGTGTGCAAGGGTGTGGGGATGCCCGTGGCCTGGCGTGTCAGAACGGCACCGCGTGTCGGGAGCGTGTGACTCATTGCCACCGGCCCATGTTATCCCTCCCCCCACACACACACCCCATGGCACATTGGCACAAGGGTGCAGGAGCCCGCCCGGCACATGTCCCCCTCCCCCCCAAGGTGTCCCATGCCTGGTGTGCCCCACGTGACACCCAGAGGGGCGGCACCTGCCTGGCCAGGTATCAGGTGTCCCCTGGGGCTCAGCGGGACCTGCCCAGGTGTGTGCGGGAGGGGGGGAGGGAGGAGGGAGCGGCCGGGAGCTGGGCCGCCATTGGGGGCCGGGGGGGGG